GTGGAAGTTTGGGTGCCGTTGTTGAGCGGCCGTGGTTTTCTCCCCGATTTGGGGTTTCCACGTAAATCGTGTGTTCTTTATCTTATTTCCGTTGCTATCTATTTGTGGTGGTGGTGCTGATTTTTGGAGTATATTGTGCTTTGTTGTTCATCTCATTAATTTGGGGAAAAGATTTTATACGCTTCCGTTGTGTTTTGTTCCGTGCTTCCCCAACAAAGTGGTATCGGAGCCTAGTTATTTATTGGTTGGCTTCTTGTGTTGTTTATGATGGATGACAAAGTAATTGTTCAAGGAATGGTTAGTTTGGACTCTACGAATTATTCAATTTGGAAAATTCGTATTGAGGATTATTTATGCTCTAAAGATTTGCTTGACCCAATTTTGTATAAAGAACATCCAACAGGTGTTGATGAGAAAGCTTGGACTACCTTGAACCGGAAAGCTATTGCATCAATCCTACAATATGTTTCTTTAAGTGTGTTGCAACATGTTGCTAATGAAACTAATGCTTTTGAGATGTGGAAGAAACTTGAATCCATGTACGAGAGGAACAATGCTATGGGAAAAGCTTCTTTGATTAGGAAGCTTGTTAAATTGCAATACAAAGATGGTGATAGCATTGTGGTTCACATGAGCGAGTTTCAAGGTGTGGTAAATCAACTAGCCGGAATGAAGATGAAATTGGAGGATGAACTTCAAGCTTTGTTGTTGCTTTCCTCATTGCCCGACAGTTGGGATACATTGGTGGTTTCACTTAGCAACTCTGCTCCGGATGGCAAGATGACTATGGAGATGGTCAAGGCTAGTCTTTTGAATGAAAAGGCTAGGAGGAAAGAATCAGGCTACCCTAGCCAAGCCAAAGCAAATGTGATTCCAGAATCCAGCAGGGGGAGAAGCAAGAGCAGAAATCCTCACCATAGAGACAAGTCCAGGGGGAGATCAAAATCCAGAAAAAGAGATTTTATTTGCCATTATTGTCAGAAGCCGGGTCACATTGAGAGATTCTGCAGAAAGAAAAAGAGGGACATGTCCAAGGAGAGAAAAGATAAAAATGAGAATTCCGAGCAGAAGCCAGAAGAGAAGAACACTACAGCCTTGGCATCTAGTGATGATGATTTATTTGTTATCGGTGATCATGGACTATTAAATGTAGCCTGTGATGACTGCACCTGGGTGATTGATTCTGGTGCATCTTATCATATTACTTCACACAGGGAGTACTTCTCATCCTA